TAATAGCATTCAATGCACGGTAATGACGAAGTAGGTACTACTTGTGAATGGGTGATTAGGTCACGAGTCCCGCGCGCAGAATATCGCAGGACATTCACCGTCCGAGAATCGTTCATTGTTTACGAGTAATTTACTCGTTATCGTCGTAAATGAAAGGCATCTTTCATTTGCCTTTCTCTCAATACGTGCAACGCCATTATCGCTTGAAATACGTTATGGGAAATACCGTGACATTTCAACGGGAACACTTTGTTCCTCTTTCGTTTAAATCAGCAGTTCTCAAACTGTAATCCACAGGCCCAATCTGGCTACCTGAACAAACAAAATACATAGGACATTATGCTAATATTTTTATCTATCGAGGTTTTGAGGTTGGACTGCCGCACAATAGCCATTTTGTCACAGAATTTAAAATTTACACTATCCTACATTGATCTTAACCGAAACATGAATTTGACGCTACGCGCGTGTTTATTTATATCTAACGCACTGCAAATCATGTAGTATCAAACCAATGGCCGTTAATCTGATCTCGACTTGCACCAAAGTGTCGTACATCACGGAACACGTCGTCACCTCGGGAATGCAACATGTTTACAATAGATTCTCCGTATAACGCGGGGAAATATGTTTCTCGGTATTAGAAAACCGCGTTATAAGAGTCTCGCAACGGTTGCGAAATGCAAAGATAGGTTACTTTGACGTAAAGAAGAACAACTCGTTCAATTCTTCCTAGAAACAACAGAAATTACACAATGCCACAAAACCGCGGTAACACGTTTAGATACACGTATCGAAGTGTATCGATAACTGGGAATACCCGAGTGTTTTTAAATTCGCGGCTGTTTTTTACTGTGCTATAAGGGGATCGGCTATAATAATAACAATACGAGTCTCTTATGAAATGATAAATGAATGAGCTTTCGCTGTATCTCGTGTGTCATTTTTTTTCAAATTTTAGATTTGTCAATCAAACGAAAGAAACTTTTGGGACAATGTAACACCAAAAAGGTTTACCTGTAAATTGATTTCTACGCGTAATAATATCGATCAAATATCAGCCAGCAGATTGATTCGTTCGAGGGGTAATTCAGTTTGGCGCTGTTGATGACAATCAAAATAGTACGGAGCTGAAACGATAGCGTTCTCGTCGAAACGAGAAAACGAAAGATAAGAGCCGATGTGGTAGACGTAGCTGTAATTTACCTTTCTACGCAACGCGCGTAATATCGCTTATCGTTAGTGCTGAACTACACACATGTAGCAAAATGAGAATTGTGCCGGTCCGTTGAAGCCGCCAAAGTTACAAGATCGAAAGTAGTTTCGACGAGAAAAGCGAGTGCATTCAATCCTTTTAAGCTTATTACAAGGCCGTAACCGCTTTATGGTATCACTGAACGAATGTAATGAAGTTCTCTAGATTTATGACACAGGGAGCCCCTCGGCCATTCCAGTAAATTTGTACAGCAGGTCAAATAAATTCGATTGCTTCGTCAACGTCAAAGATAATTTTGCGTCTTAACCGGGGAATTTATAACGAGACATTTACTCTCTGGTATTTCTTCTTAGCATTGTGTAATAATCTAATCGGTTTAAAATTATGACGTATTATGATCTGCCTTGCTTGCAGCAGACTTTGATTGAATCACTATTATTGCGCTTCCGAATGAACAGTTCGTACATAGTTTACGAATTAAACGTCTGTACTACTGGATGATTGTAATTGCTCGACGTTTACTTATTTCTAAGAATAGAAAACTTGGTTCCGTTCTGTTGTCCAGTTATCGTTGACTGTGTTTTGAAATGAAGGAACTAGAAAAAAAGACTGCTCTGGAACTAAAATCAACGAATAACTCCGAAATTGTTACATTGACCTGTGTTACCTTCGACTAAACATTTTTGACAACGTTTACCAATTTAAAATTGAAGTTACGATTAATGCGTGCCGTGTATGAGTTATTTGTTTGGTATTTTGGAGAAAGGCTCGGAAAACAAATATTATAACGGGCTCTGTATAACTGTATAGAGTTTTTGGATTGGATTCATGAATAATTCCGAAACGTTTATGTTGAATAATATATCGTGAAAGTGACATTCCTCAAAGTAGGCAATGATACGCGAAATCCTCGTAGTATTCTTATCTCGGCAAACGTTTCGCATTTGCCTTAGCAATTTCCACGAATTCTTTTCCAAAACTTCTTTATAAAAACGCGTCACGTTGAAAACAACTTCGCGGAAGTTGCTAATCATTAACGAGAACTCGCTCGATTCCACGCAACTGGTGATAATTATCACAGCACACATTTATCGAATTCCTTTGATAGATTGAAGAACAAAAAAAAAAAAAAGAAAAAAAAGGCGAGGAATTTTATGCACGCCATACACGCGTTCCTGGTACTCAATGAACGATCCGTCGACAAATCACATTCATTCAGAATGATCGAGAAGAACAATATCGCGATTTCAATCGACTTTCTTTGCTTGGTTCTACAAAAGTAAAATACCCACTATTTGAACAGCGCAACAAATTGGACCGATACTTGAACACATATTTTAACTATATTTTTAACTTTGAAACTGAAATTATAATAAATGTTTCGATATAAACAATGTCATACTAAGTGTTTATAACCTGTATGTAAATACCCAGTTAATATAATTTCTGCTGAAATATACACTCGGAAAAATAGATTAAGCGATTCAACGCGCAGAAAAATTTGAGCTTGCTCCCCGAGCCTATAAATATCAAAGGAATTTGTTCTTAGAAGATCTATGACACGTGTATTTGCGTCGAATGGAACTTGGGAAAACTCCTCTGCTTTACTACATATGCACGATTTAACGCGTTAAACTTTTGAAAGGGTACTCTTCTTTCGCTTTCCGTGTGCGCAAGTTTTGCTATTCAGGATGAGAAGAGTTCTATTACAAGTAAAATTTCGACTACTTTATCGAATTTCCACATATATTTGTAAGTATAGTTATTAGAAAACTGTGGATGATTACGGAAATTTCTATTATTTACAGATCAGTGAAAAGGTTAACAGAGAAGAAAAAATTTGTTCCGTAAAGGAAACCTGCACCGAATTTATGACTGACCCACAGCTACTGTGGTTTACATAATGCCAACAGGATACGAATAACGCGATGATGAATCGCTTGTTTTAATCGCAGGAAGTAATGATTTTGTAGAATTTTTTAATGTTATTCGATATGAAAGATTCCCATTGTGCAAAAGTATCCCGCATGAAAAAGGTCTGCAAACATGCAAAAAACAGAGAGCCAATGTTAATATTGAAAGAGCTGTTTCGTTATATTAGCTAATTTGTTCTATAAACGTTTCCCTATGGTTGAAGCTTTTGCGTTTCAAAGTGCATACTGGTAACTATGAAAATATGTTTCAATCCTATATTGGAATAAGCTTACTTCTCTCTTTCCTAATAACGAAAACCAATTACAACAGATATTTGCGACTTGAAAATCCAGAATTAAAAATACTTGGAATTACAAATTATTTAAAAAATTAATGCTTGAACCATCCGTCCCCTTAATTCGATCGACAGTCAAAACGTGACGAGGTCTCGAAAGCTGAGTTTCTACGGTGGAAATATTTCTCCTCAAAGTTTTCATGATTACAAAGACGTTCCTTTCTTACGAGTCGGAAAGTAAAAATGGTGGAAAAGTAGGTTAACTCCGAGAAAAATTGTGAGTGGTTTCGTGCTTCTCGTTCACTCGGGGGACAGACAAATCGAGAAGAAATTCCGTGAATTCCGGTCGGTCGGTCTCCGATCGTCCGATTTCGGATTTATACGGCGTTCGTGTCACCTACAAGCTCGGCTCGGCTCGGCACGGCTCGGCTTGGCGCGTCGCTAGGTGTCTTTCTGGTGTAGCATGAAAATAGCCAAGCGTACTTGGAATATCGTGCGGCCTACGCGTTAAGCATGCTACAACGGCGTTCACCGAGAACGCTCGCCAAAGCGTGAGCGAGTGCGAGAGATTACACGACTCCTTCACGGTAGAGGGGGAAGGAGACATGACTACGTATGAGGGAAGACCGTTGAGGAAAAAGAAAGAAACAGAGTGCGCGAATACGGAGAAAGATAAAACATTCGGAGGCAGTGGCGCACCCAAGCGGGGTGCAATAAGGCAATTACACCACCCCTTGCCAGAAACATCCATTTTTTACTCGTTCCAGTTTTATCACCTATATGTACAATTTTATCGGAACGATAGATGGCGACTAAGAACACCGAATGCCGAGATTCGTTCTCAAACAGGGAGAATCGTTATCGATATCCTTCTTCATAAATATGTATGTATACGTATATCTTTCGAAAAGAAACAATTCAATACGACAAGAGTACTGTACGACTATAAAAGTGAACATATAAAACGTAGTAGAAGAAAATATTGATTATTAAAATTATGTATTTTTATCAATAAATCTCCTGTAATGTACGGTTCACAAGTGAGAAAAACTACAAAATTGACATTTTATGCCAACCTCTTACATTTCTTTACTTTTTTCTCAAACGTATTCGATAAATAAACTTTTGTTCCGTTAGCTTTTAGTTTGCACCCTCCTAGTTAAATTACTGAGTGCGTCACTGGTCGAAGGGGAAGAAGGGCTGGTCGAGCGGGGAGACAGGTAGATAAATGCGGTTTATGGCGGGAAGTTAAAAGACGAACGACACACTGTTGTCGCACCGTATCTTGTAAATATATGAGGTCAGAGACGAGAAGAGGGAGAATCGCGAGAATCGGCCCGAAGACAGACGGAAGGAGAGGTTATAACGGAGAGGGGAAAAGAGAGAGAAGAGAAGAGAATGGAAAGGGACGGGCAGCAGGAGATTCCGAGAGAGGAAGGAATTCATAGGCGGGAAAGAGACGGGAGGAGAGGAATTGATAAAAAGGAAAGAAAGGATAAAAAGGGTAAAAGTGGGAGTGGGGGAGAAAGAGAGATAGATTGAGTAGAGAGGAGAGAGGAGTAGCTCATGGTTCACCTGTCGTCATGGCAACGCCGCTTCGCCGCTCACTTGTTACTCCATCGGCGTAGCTCGACCCTCGGTCCTCTCGCAGCCTCCGCAGGAATACGAACGCGAGTCACGATCCATCGTAGGAGAGACCGTGATGCAGAAGCTTCTCTCTTACAATAATCCCCCGTCTCCGCGGAGATCAAAAGATGTCAGAGTGACGGAGGTGGGGAATCACGGTTGGTTTACCTCCGTCGTGCACCCACGTTGTTATCACAGAACACTTACTACCGATTTTCCCGATACGATAACCGATCCTCGTTTGTCCGAGATTCGTTTCAACTCTATCACTCTCTCTCTCGCTCTCTCTCTCTCTCTCTCTCTCTCTCGCTCGCTCTCTATGTATATATATATTCTACATGTATATAACGTTGGCTGCTTTCTCGCTAGACGATCACGAGCACGAATACTCCCGGATATAGAAACGTATCACAGAAGAAGCACAATAATCATTTTGTTGGAAGAAAATCAGAGGAGACACCCTCTCCGGTTACTCTTTATTTGCCCGTCCCCCTGGCGCGTACTTAAGCCGAAGTCACTCTTCTATTTTAAGCTCCAACACTTGCCCCGTCGTCTGCGTCTCTTGGCTTCTCCTCCTCGCTCTTTCTTCTTTTCTTGCAGAGCAACACGAGCAGACGCATACACGCACTATCTTTTTCTCTTTGGGTACGCGGTTGGGACACAGAGTCGCGACTCCTCTCTCGTTATCCACTTACCAGCGCGTCAATCTGTTTGCTATGCAAATCCCGTCCGACCGGTGCTGACGTAGACGGGGCAACACCAACGCAGAAACGGGTCCGTCGACGATATCTCCTACTAACACATTTTAACACGGCCGAGCAGTTAGTCATTGCCCGCGAAGCACACACGTAGAAAATATAATTGGCTACCAACGACGGACCACGCAGCAATTCCACCACGGGGTCTCCTTTTTAGCCCCACTACTGTTCGGCAACACCGATACCAAGCCCACTACACGACCATTACCACCACCAATACCGACGACAGATACTGGTGTCGTTACTACTACGATCACTACTGCCAGCAGTAATACACCACCAACACACAGACCGACACCCGTATCGGTAAACGCACCGCAAAACTCCACCAACGAATTCCCCTTGTCGACTTACACGTCTTCGCGACTCTTGCCTGACGTCATTGGCGCCTAATCGCGACGTATTTCGCGTACCACACTTGTTCGCGTACTTCTGTCGGACGTACACCTCGTGGCTGTTTCCAACGATCGATCTTTCTTCGATCTTCCTTCTCGATATCTTCTGTCACGTGGATTCCGTACCACGACGAGATTAGACTTCGGTGATCTCGCCTTCAACAAGTATTCCACACTTTTTCTTTCCTCTGCGTAGAAAACTTTCCTCTCCCGAAAGCGATATAGAGTTACACTGAAATCAGTTCCGTCGGTCCGGTGGATCGTCGGGTCTAAAGCCAACAGAGACGGCACCCCGAGCAGACAGCTGTGTCACACTGTAGCGTTACAATTTCTCGCTCATTCATCGTCGACTCGGTCGGCAGGGAATCGACTCGATCCTCCATAAGTTCGGATCTCTGAACGCGTGTCGCGTATCGAGCGTTCGATCCGCGCCACTCGCACCGCGCACGGACTCAAATCGGCTTCCCACCACGTTTACTCCGTTACTACTCATCACTCTTCCTGCAACATAATTCCCGTTCGACGGCACTGCACGCACTTTCCATGCTCCTCCTCGAATTACCACCACTGCTAACACCGCGGCACAGTCTGTTCCCACCAAAACGAAGATCGTGTCGCGTCGCGTAGCGTGGCCGTGTTGCGAAACGGATGTGTGCGCTCTCCTACCGGGTTTTCAACAAGTGATCGCAGTAGCAATAAGAGCAGAAGCGGCGGCGGCGGCGACGACGAATCGGTAGCTCGTCGTTCCAGGGTCGTTCGTCGGCGTATAGGTGGCACAACACGCGCATGCTACACCTCCTGACAGCGTTGTTATTGTTGCGTAACTGGCGGCCCGCTAAGCCTGAGTGTGCTGCTGCCAGCAGCCGGAGGAGAGAGAGGTCGACCGACAGCCGAGGTAACAGCCAGCCGTGGGTGAGCCAGTGGGCGATGTATCTCCGAAAGAGCAGTGAGTGTGCGAGCAGTGCGCCGTCTGGCGTGGCTGACGACAGTCTACTGCCTTCCGAGAACCACGAGGCGATTCCGTGTATCGAACGCGCGCTGCCGAGCCACTGAAGGGATGGACGCCGGACCAGCGGGGTGGGGGATCTGCCGGGACGACAGGGGAAGGGAACTCGGCGCTGAGACGAACCTAAAGGCCCGTTCACGCGTACGCGACCAGTACGCGAGCTTTCGAGAACAAGAGTAACGAACACCAACGGACATCTAACCTCCACTTTACACTTTACGTTGCTTTACACGGTATTCTTGTTGTTCCTAGCTCTCTACATAACTTTTCAATATAACGAATTTCTGAAAAGGAAAATTTGTCCTATGTATATTTTTGTTCAATCAATTTTTAGTATCGTCCGTTTGTTACGCTGCCAACCGATCGAGATCTTCCTTTTGGCGCCATGCAGAATTGAACGGTTAAAAACGCGATAAAGGGTGAGCGGTTTTCCATAAATTATATCCGATCTAAAATCATAAATTATATCGACAAGTGGTAGATAAAGCATCATTATTATAAGAGGTATATGTTTGAGATCGCTTATGTCTCTATCTGTAGTCTTATATGGATTCCTTTGGTCTCTTTCAAACTTCAAGAACAGTTCGTCAAATTCTGAGACATCGATTACTTTTATTTCGTAAATTGTTTCGCGAGGAGAAGTAGGGTTAGTGTCACTAGTAAAATTATATTCGAAATAATTGTTTTTATTTTCGATTTATAAGATATTTCAAAGATATTGATTTTACGTGTACATCGGGCGATTGCTACACAAACAATTTATTCGTGACGTTTATTTGACTGGACAGTTACATTTTTATTCATTCACTATAAAATATTAACTACTTGTACATTTCTTAAACGTATTTTTAGTTATTCTTTGTTTTTATGAGTGATTTCCAAATGTTCAATAAAATTTAGGTACAGCGTATACTGAGAAGTATATAATACTTTAATTAAAAAATTATACTACTTCAGCTAGCACAGCATCTTAACAAACGTGACATCATTTCTAACAAACAGTTTGGATTTAAGCCATAACATTCCACAATGCTACAAACTACAAATACTGAAGTACGCATAGCATTTGAAATAAATAAAGCAAGAATCAAGTTAGTATGGTCGCATTATACACATGTTAGTACAGTGGAGCATTAAGGTTTATTTTGAAACTATACCAACCGGATACATCTTTATATATTGTTACAATTATTTATGATTATCGTACAAATGTATATCATATTCAGGTTACCTCCTCAACCCTAGTTTATATGCAATTAGAAGTAACTCAAGGATTAATCTTAGATCCAATATTATTCAATATCTTTTAAAAGTATAAATAATGAGGCTTGAATTGGATGCATACGTGGCAATACTTCTTCATGAAAATCAGGTCAGGCTATTAAACTCGTATATGACTACTTTAGAGAAATACAGAAATGTATCGGCAACTATAAGTTACAATTAAATGTGGAAAAAAAGAAACCATCTTTTGCGTATCTTCTTCAAAGATCAATATAAAGTACAGGAATAAAATAGAATAAAAAACATACAGAGTATTCAGAATCATATTTCTACCAACAAGTCTCAATAGCAAACTGGCAAAGAATCTTAAAATTCAATTATATGAAATTTGTCAAACTCATTTTCACATGTGACTTTTATATCTGGTGTACTAAGAGCTTAAGGTATAGAGAATGTGGAACAAATTTCTGAAAATCATAGAAAATGAACTTGGAGATTAAGTCAAACTACCTGAAGAAGCAAATATTTACACCATACAGGAATACATAAACAAGACACTAGAAACAACGTTCAAGCATCGCAGCTTGTTATTTGGCGTAACTTTCCCGTGAATCTCTGAAACCTATCACAGTTGCGGTAAACACTGCAACAGGGAAGAATTAATCAGGAAGAAACGGGGTTAATCGTTGCCCTTACTAATTTCGATATTAAAATTTGTGATTTACCTTACTTTCAAAATAATAATTCACACGCTTGCAAAACACTCGTTAGAGTTAATAATTCCTGAAGAGGATCTAGGATGAATAAACTTTGTAATTTTATTTGAACCAGACGCGCCGACCTGTACAAACCGTTTTTCTGGTTTACGGAGATTATGGCTGTTGGCATTTTACGCGCTTCAACTTTACCTAAACAAGCCAGGTTCGTGTGGATAGGCTTTAATGTTGCACGAGACGAGAAAGTTCATGCCTGCGGAGAGACAAAGTCAGCGATACATTCTGCCAGAATCCTCAGGGACGCACTCTACTACGGCTCTCTCTTGTCTACGTCTCATATTTGAACACGATAATGAGGCTTTTAACCGTGGCCTTGTGCCGTTGCAGCATGTTAAATGAAAAATCGAGAAAATACCACCGTTCGCGACCGCGGCTTCTTACGTCACGCGGATTTCCTGGCGCGATATTCGATGGACTTTTCTTTGGCGTCATCGCATGCACTATGAATGAGATGCATAATGGCTTTACAATTGAAATCGATTTTTTATCCAAGTCTTAGTTATTTTTCGCTATTTCGTTACTTTACCACACGAGTATTGATCTGACAAGAGTACTTTGTTACTAAAAGACAAAACAGGAAACCCTTTATATCGCGAATGAGCCAAGAGGTTAACTTAATTCCGGGAGATTTTTCGTGGACCAAATGCGTTCTGCCATGAACATTGATACGAAAGCAGGGGGAGCGGTAGACAAACAGGAATCCCTGGTGATAATCTACCTTATCTATTCCGGATCTGTGAAAGCCAAGGGCAGACGCAGTCTTCCTGGGTGTCGCCACGGCTATGCTTCGTCTTCCCTGCTCGAGGCTCGTGCAGGGGGACGCTGTTATCTGGCAGATACATACAACCTTCTTCTCACGCGTCTGCCAGTCCCGGAAGGACGGCCTTCAGGGAATTGACCTCTACGAAACGGCTCGCTCCTCGGGGAGGACGATCGGAAGAAAATACTAATCATGAGAGTGAACAGCAGATGGAGAGGTGTTGTTGCTCGAGGATATCGATGTATGTGCCTCTTGTCGCGGTTCGTGTTACTTATTTACTGCCACGCGTGCTGTGCCAAAATATTTACACCAACTCGAGATTAGATTTTACTTGGAACGAGGAGCGGTATATAAACTCAATAATGGATCGAATAATTATCATGGCGACACGAGTAACGGCGATGTTTGGATCGATATCGTTCTCGGTAGTTTACTTCGATACGTATCAGATGATTTTCCTACGCAAATTTTCTTTTTGTTATTATTATGATAAATTTAGTGAATCAAAATAGAGCGAAGAATTTAAAAGGTTAGGCATGTAATGTTTTGTCGTTAGTCGTAGGTATTCTATTCTTGAGCTCCTATCTCGTTATCTATATGCATTATGTGATAAACAGCAAGTTGAACGTATCGATTTGAAAAGCAGCTATTCATACCTTAGGTGTATATAATTTTTCGATGAATCTAATCAATTATTTCGTACTCGTGAAGTAGAATTTTGTGGAGGAATTTGTTAGTGTCAGCTGAAAACGTAAATAAAATAGGAGGACGAACTGTGGTTACTATTTCCAATTTCGATTAAAAAATGAAACTAGAAGTAAAAAATAGAACGAAAACAGAGAAAATTATACGTAGAGGTGAACGAAATAATAGCGTTAGCGTATGAATAATACGAATATCGATTTTACTATATATATCGTATGCTAGTGTTCAAGAGGTATTCCATCATTTTTCCACGATAAATCGATATAAAAAGTTCACATTTTTGTCTCGATCTTAGAGCAAACGTCTTTCAAAAACTTAGGGATTTTTAAATAATTTGCAAATTTACTCCCTCTCTGAATTTCGCGTTATCATTGGGCATCGGTGCGTGACAGTAAAGACGCGATGAAATTCGAGAGCTTCGGAATCGAATGGTAAACTTCAACCGAGTGGAATCATTGAATAAAATGAAGCGACTTGTTGCGTTACAAAATCAATCCGTACAGTTGATTGGCCACGGAAAAAACTATATAGCCGAGTGGCGTCGGTTATCGGATAAGATCGATAAACTCGCGTAACTGGGAGCTTACGTGTTCTACGTGGCACAATCATTAATTATAGCTTCATCTGATTGTCCTTGAATGATAAGTCACGATAATGATGGTATATTAGCTGCTAATTGCACCGGAGGCCGAACAGTCCCTTGCAATATTTTGCTTGAGTCGATATAATCTTAATCTCCTCGCCGTGGTGGTCATGAAAACATAAATCAACCAGTTACGGAACCGTCTCGGATAATAATTAACCTGCAACAAGTGTTCGATAAGGTTCGGTCGCATTACTGCCGATAAACTGGTAATTATTACCTTTGAGTGTTATTTAGTTTTTGTTACGTCGTTCTCGAGGATTAGTTCGTCGCGTCTAGCAATTTTGCGCGATACCGATTACTCGATCGTCCGAGTGCCAACTATTTACTGCTCTTAATTGGTACCTCTTCGATTGGTGTTTGTAGAGAACTTGAGAGTTAACGCCTAGAAATCTGTAAGTAGGAAAACTGAACGTAACTTTCGTTGAAGAACTAACAAAATTTATTTCGAGAGTTAACTGTTAAAGAAAATGAATTCGAATGACATTCTTGAGCTTTGATGATATCACAAAAATAAATATCGTAATAAATGTTTGATCGTGTAGTTTCCTCTAGTCTGCAAAATTTAATTAATCCACGAATTTCATAATTGACCAGCAAAAGTGGCATGGAGTTGTTTTATTTGTTTAAAGACGTTCAGAGGGTAGCTTGGTGCTCCTTGACAATTTCCTGTACATACGAACGTCGCCGTACACGGTCCTGTAGAAGGAGCAGTAAGTGGCACGCGTTTGTAGTAGTAAAACACGAAGAGAAGTGCGACAAGCTACATATACAGCGTTTATGCGCATACACGGATAATCCGCACGTAGGGACTGCCATGTGACGCGAGAAGATCATGCACGCTTCGCATAGCGATGGGATCGATTTGCTATCGAGATTCATAGAAATGCTTCGATTTTTCTCCAGTTGAATTCTTCGATTCAGATCATTTCTGTTGGGTCGTTCCATAAGTTTCTTTCGGGAGTTGCACTCAGTTGTTTTGCGTGGCAGTGTTTACATAAATAGACAACCTCATCTCGTAGTAATCACCCAAGTAAAAAGAAACCAAATAAATTGTTTCAATTATTCGTTGGTCTTCGAAATATAACTAAATGTCTAGCATCGGTTCGTGAAATGCTCGTGCAAAAATAAACACTATTCATGATTCTAGCCATTGAGCAGTTATTCATAATGCAACGCTTTCGACCTCGGTGTAGGTTTTATCCAGTAAATTTGTTCTATAAATTGATGGATATAAAATTTATTTATAGATAATACCTAGGGACAGCGACGGAATATTATTAAATTGTTAACTGTAAAATCTAAATCCACAAAATTAAACGGATGTGGTAATGGTGGTTTGATAAAAAAAAGAAAACAAATATCTAAGGAGACTAAAATTCAACTGTTCGTTCGAATAAACATCACGAATAAATTCTCATGGTTTAGTTTTATTTGTTGTGTTGTTCTTAAATATATTATAAAAGACTTAAAAAACATTCATAATCATTTGTAGCACACCAAACAGAAAAGCAGATTGGTATTGCCAACCGTATTGAAATTACAATATTACCGACTCGAACTCGATGTAAAGCTACAATTAACTGTAATTTAGGATAGAAATTTACGTTTTTAAACATATTCGAGGAAAAGTGTGGCAATCTCTGCGGATCGGTGCCATCGCTAGACACGTGGAGTCTCCTGAGGCCCTCAGGATGTTAGGGCAACAAGGGGAAATCGAGCAGCGTAAAGGAAGAGGGGACGCGCTCAGGGAGGAGTAGAACGCCTGGGCATTTCGTAGAATGTCCCATCGTCTCTGGCGAACAACAGTCGGACTCCTCCAGAACTCCGATCGAGCACAGGCCTGGAGTCTTCTGGCCTGACTGGTTGGTTGGTTGGTTGGTTGGTTGGTTGGTTGGTTGGTTATTCCCCTATACAGGTTCGCCCAACTTATGTGCGCCACAATGCAGCTTACGTTGACCCACAGATATCTGTACTATACCTAGATCGCTAACGAAAACGTATGTAAACTATGTACAATATTAATGGTTTTTATTTTGCATTTATCTACCCTCGGTCCTTTCGTTTCATTCTTTTACTGCGGTCGCTTTATCCTGCTTCTATTTCTTCGTTAGACCCTCTTTGTGCATCCGGCTCCTCTTTCCTCGTTTTCCATTTCTCGTGAATTTATCTATTTGTATCGTTCCAGAAGTCTTCCTCGTTCTATTTTTGCCTGGCAGTCTCTCTTTTCTTCTCTCCTCCGAATCTCGTAGTTTCCTCTGACTATTCGCCAGTGTCTGTTTTCTCCTGGTAAAATATACACGAAAAGAGCTTGCATTTATTTAAATATGCGCGTGTTAAATAAACCTCTCCCAACACATGGTCCTCGTGTTAAAAATTCTCAAAGTTTAGCCAGCTTTTGTGAGGTAAGGTTTATTATACGACAATAAACGGATTGGTACGGCGCCATTTTCCAATATTTTCCACTACAAATTTTACATGACATTCTTCAAAGTATACACATTCATACATTCAAACATAATCCTCCTCGCTTAGATAGTTCTCGCGTTAAAAATTCCCAAAGCTTGGCCTGTATTTGTCAGAGTCAGGGTAACCACACGCCTGCAAAGCGCAAGCGCTCGGATCCTCGGGCATCCTGAATAACTATATCACGGGAATCCCTTCCTTCTCGGTCGTGATACGGCTTTCGTCCTATTCCGTGCGACTTCTCTTTCAACGCCACGTCGAGAAGAACTCGACGGACACCAGATTCCTCGAGTCGTATTCCGCTCGTGTCCGATATAAGAATTTCGATTTAAAACCGCGCTGTCGTTCGTCACGTCACGTCCCGAATACGTAGCACGCTTTTACGAAGCTCTCCGTGAAAACACTCTTGGGAGCACGAGTGAAAAATTCTGACCTACTATAGGTGACCTAATGAGTATGGAAACCGGTCGGAATCAAATGAAATGAAGACATTCACGGCATTCTCAGTTTCACAAGAATGTTCTTTATTAAAAGTTCGAGTCTGTCTAGTCCGTGGTATGGATCCTAAACGGCCGTTTTACGCCACTGAAGACTAACTCTTTCAACTCCTACGTCCTACCGCACTCGACGTCAATTTCATTCACAGGAACTCCTACAGTGGGTCTATAAGTAAGTGGCACGTTAATGTAATGTACATCTTTTAGTTGCACGTTAAAACTTCCCATTTTCGGTATATATTCTCTTATTTCGATTTGATTGTGCCATTTGAAAGCAAAGCTGCATAATCGTTATCCAAACGAAAGGGAACCTTTCTAATCGCTAACTAAATTTGCTAGACTTACTCCCCTCCGAAGTGGCCATCCGAGTACAAAGGGTTAAATTCGTTCCTTTTGCCCCTAGTCTCCCTTACCGTTAACCTGGTAAGTTGACGTCAGGCGAAATCGCACGATCGCCGCTTATGCTCCTCAAGAGGACCTTGAAGCGTGGAAACCGCAGGTGGAACGGATCCTCTCGTGCACCGCTTTCTGTACACCTGCTGCCCGCCCGTCTTCAGGGAATTCCTCGTCCGTCTCGCAAAGTTAGCATCCTGCGATTCGGAGTAGGTACACTGTCGTTCACAAGTATTTGTCCATCAATAAAAAGAAGAGTCTAGCCAGTGCAACGGACCTATGCAAGCTTCCAGTCGAAATCATTAGAAATCACTAGAAACAAACATTGAACAGGAACTCCTCGTTATTCAATCTTTTCACGAACCAAAGAAAATATATTTCCGGTGTTTTTAATGATACGAAGGAGGAAAATGTTTGGTTAGGAGGAGATCATACTGTGATAGACAAACAAAAATAATCTAAAGACCAAATCTTCCGAGAGTATAGAGTTATAGAGTATACGCACGAACAGTGCAAAATAATCCTCATACCACGACTTGAATCACGTCTACCGAATTTTTTCTTTTCGAATTCGAGTGTCCGCGGATCGAGTGTGTACCTACCTCCTATCTTCAGTGATTCACGAGACAAACACACTCGAAGCTTGTCGAATTTGAGAGATCTCTGCCTGATACGTCGTATTGCACACGAATCCCAGGTCTCTATTATCGAACAAATTCCACGAAAGTGAATCGTTCGACGACTTTTAGGCACGAGACGCGTGCTCGATCTTTTGCGTCGAGGACTGCCTCGTCCATGGGGGAACTCCCATCGGACTGCTTTTTGGCGCACCTGTTCCGTATCTGAAAGCTTCAAAGGTAGCGTCTGCGACTATTTCACGTACAAGGAAACACCGGTGACTGTTACAGCACGATTTTCATGAAACTTTGTACACTTGTTTCTGGGACCTTCCTACGAATTACACCATTTCCGAATCGTTTAGAAAGTACAGCCTGTTTCAGTTGCCTGAGACACCCTGTGTATATAATATAAAAAAATATTGAATGGTTTCTTTGAATACCCTGTTTGAGTGACAGAGTACTCAAAGTGTTATAGAAAGCTTGAAAACCGCTACTTGTGTCACTAGTAAACTTGTATGCAGCTCTCTCGCATTAACCCCTCGGCGTCTGTAACGTCGAGGGAACTTTTGCAGATCGAGGTACTGGTAAAGTATTCACGTAATATCCTATGAGTCCTATTTTCGTCCTGGCATCGTTCTTCCCGTTCCACTTCTTCCGAGGAATTCGTTGGACTCGGTTCTCGGTCCTCTCGTACAGGATAATTGGACAGCGAAATGACAAGCGACAGACGCCACCGGAATGGTAACCGATTCAGGTAATCACTCCAATGACGAAATGCACAACAAGGATCGACCGATCGTACGATGGCCCACGGAACAGTCACCGGAAAATCGATCATCCTACTCGAACACGTTCGTTAATATGCAATGTTGCGCACAGGTGATTCTTAGAACGTGATCGATGCGATTATCTTTAGCGTTCGTAAACCTGTGCATAGCAGGCGGGAAGCAAGTGTGGCGCTGGAGAAATGTTTATATCTAAAGACTGAGAACAAACGCATAAGATAGAAATGAGAAAGACACGTGACAAGTAAGAAGTTTCAGATGTGTAATAATTAATAGTAGTCAGGAAATACGATGAAGGATAAAAGGTAGTTGAATGTGGCGGTGTAGGAAATCGAAGCTTGAAAGTTGCACGTGTGGTGAACTGGGATAGAGATTGATCTGATTGGGAACAGAGGGCATTAATATTAATTGAACAGGAGTAATCGTCTTTACATCAGCGTTTCTTAACGTGATATTATTAACGACCTTTGGCTTCATAAAATTTATAGATATTATTAATTCAGTCATCGTCATAGTATGCAATGCTGTCACTTATTTGATATAATTTTAGGAATTCATAGAAAAGACAGTATGTATACAGTATGTATAGTTCATATACATATAGATACAATATTCTGATGATGTATACAGGGTGTCCGAAAAGTCGGGGAGGAGCCGGAAATGGGGTGTAGCTGAAACGATTCCGAACAACAATTTCCTTTGCAAAAATGTCGGATGGGGCTTCGTTAAGGAGATATTAAGCGAAAACCCCGACCAATCAGAGCGCGCGTAGACCGTTGGAGCGGCCGCGGTAGCGAAGGCTACGCGCTAGGTGGCAGCGTCAATGTCCTTCGATGCACGTCGAGTCACTTGTTCGCGTACAAGCGCGGCCGCCAGCGCGTAGCCTTCGCTACTTTTGTTCAATGAGATACGGATGAACAGTTGTCCTTGTATTCGTTATTTAAAGTTCGTCGAAGAAGAATCGTCTTTTAGAGAATGTTCCGCGTGAAAGAGCTGATGGCGATTACGTTAAAGATAGTTAACAACTGATCAATCGTGAGCCTTATACGGGTTTTATCGAGCATTCCAGTGGTTTCGTACCGACCCCAGAGTAATTTCCATCGCTGAGGTTTATTCCAGGAGCTTCTCGAATCGGGAGAATGTACAATTCGCAGATAGAGCAGGTCTCGGTTCGATTCCACGATGTCGCGACCGCTTCATCGTAGATTGCGTTTGGTCGACGTTTAAGTAGTTCTTCTGAACGATTAAGTCGGATCCTACGCCTCGGTTACTGGAACTCCGTCTACAAATAGAAGACGTGTTCTGTTTGGTTGCTCGAATACGGTCTAGTTACAGGAATCGTGGGAGGTACGATTTTGAACAAAATACTACTGTTCGGAATAACGCCTCGAGGAACTTCAAAGTACAGGGTTCGCCAAAAGAAGCCTTAGGATTTTGAAAAGTGTTCATTTTTCGTACCTACACTTGACAGCTGCTCACGCAATAGTATAACAGACGGAACAACTCCGGTTTCATTCATTCCTAATTGCCAATACGAGTTGAAGCAGACCCTCGATACAGAAAAAAAACTAAAAGTTCCATCTGTTCATTAGCGACTTTGCTTCTACACTCACTCATGGAGAAACGTTACAAGTTTAAAGCGTCCGTCACCGGCAGTCGACGTGTTAATGAAGATTGCATGTCGAACATGGATCCGTTTAGTGACAGCTTGCTCAGGAATGTCGTTACTTCCCGGTGAGAGATCACACGAAGGTTGTCGTGCTATCATTTCCTGCCTCTACCGTCGTTGCGACTTGGAATAGTCGAGTGCTGCAGCGGGCATGATTGCTATCGAACCGTTAGCTGTTCGTTCATTCGATCGTTGCAACTGCCAGTTCGCTAGCAGTTCGTTTTTCCTAACAAGTATCAGAGGAGTATGATAGCGCGTACGCGCGTAGGTGTACGCTACACTGTCGCCAGAAACGTACAACTTTTCCCATAACGGTTCTGTTACGAACATTTTCCAAGTACGGTAAACTCCTTATCGATGGCGCAGGCAACTATGCGATACGAAGGAGGCGGTGTAAAGGTTGATTCTCAACTGCGTTCAAGGAACATCAGGTGAAGGCTACGTACGTAGTTGGAAGAAGGGAGTAGAACATCGTTGGAAGTAAGTCGTAAAAAAGGGCTTTTTTGGGCCTGTCGCAATATTGTTCCTCCATAAGCAGACAAAGACCAGTGGCAAAATGTGGAGATGCAATCAGGCAGGAGACACCGTTCGGAGGAGCTTCGGAAAAGAGCTTTCCGAGACGTCAGCGAAAGAGGGCCAAGATAACGAAAGAAGAGACGCGTTCTTCGCAATTTTCAAGTCAGCCTGGCGGCGTGCCATAACCTCTCGCGGCATCTCAGCGCCGGGAGAGCGTGGGAGTGGAATTCCCTGATTGTTACGAGCCTTATTTTGGGAGCGGTCGGCACAGCCGCCCCGGAAGCGGGACTTACAAATTTGGAGCGGTGGCCCATTTCTTTTTCTTTTTTCTACACGGCTCCTACGCTCGCGCCCTGGCGCTCAACCGAATTCGCCGGGCGTTTCTTGGAACCGATCATCCCGTTCCTTCAAAATCACCTTTCCCGCCCTTGGCTTCGGTTTCCACGAACGAGTTCTCTTTTACCTAGCTGCACGAAACGACCCCGTGTCTTTTTACGCGCACGTTTCGCGAGAACACGCTAAACATTTCCACTGCGAGGTTAAGGATCAGAGATGGAACTCGAGGGTTTACATCGTCCTGGCAATGTAAAGGAATGGAATAGTTGTTTCTTGCATCGTCAAAATTCATGAAACATGGAAATTACTAGTCTCACTCTGTCGCATCTTTTTCCAGCTACCCATTCGATTCTACCTACTCTCGCAATTCATGAATGAATTCTATATGTTATAATTTCCTCCCATGTCATTGTCAACTATCGAAATAGATAAGGACTCGATGGACTTCTTGTGCTTCTTTTTTTTATCGTCCGTACTCCAATCCAAATATTTGAAAGAATCGAGAGTAAAGTTGGCAAATATTGCGACGAAACCGCGTGTTTGAGAGTTTTGAAAAGGAGCATGTTAACACGGAAACCCTCGTTTTCGGTGTCTCTAGAATGTGTACTCTGCAGTTGTACGGTTTTGGCGCGTCTTCTTCGGCTATGACTGACGAAAGAAGGCAAGTCGGCATCGGTTTTGTAAATACATGCGAACTCAGCAGGATGGCACGTTCCGAAAATAAGGATAAGTGGCAGGGAATACCGCGTCGTTGATTTCAGAAACGCACGAAAGGACCTGGCACGTTTTCAGCTGACGTTAATCGTCGTTTATTTAGCGTCAACTGACCACCGAAATATTTTTTCAGACCTATTTTAAAACTTACACGGTTTCCCCTCGTTGACGAGAAGTTTCGGGGGATCTTTAAATAACGGAGCAGGGCATTAATCAATTATATTTTCGTAAACCTTACTCTTCCGCCTGGGCACAAATACTTTTATCTTCAACAGAGCGAAGAACAACTGCGCGACTTGAAATCGTGCAGAAACGCTCCAACTTTTCTAAAAAGAAAAAAAAAACAAAAAAAAGATAAGAATAGTCGATTATTAATTATTCGTGGAATTATATTTTACAAAAATAATAGTAATTAGCCTCTGCATACCGCCAAAAAATACACCAACGTTTTTTCTTAAATATACTTTTGCGAGTATAGCGAAGAGAGATTGAGAACCGACGTAGTACACACTACTGCCTGATTCAAAATAGTACGATTGAGACCGCGTTTGGACTCATTTTTATCAGGAAGGTCTCGACAACCTAATAAAGCCCCTCTCGCCGAGATAAGATAAAACTGATAAAAATTTCAGTTTTTATAGATCGCGAACATGACTCATTAGCCGCATGCGCGGACAGCTGGAAGGTTTGCTTTTTCACTTGCTATCATTCTTCATCGCTTTCGTCTGTCTGTCTAGCCTAGCATAAGCTGAGAGCGACTCCTGGAATCGAATCTTACCACGTTTCGTTTATTGCATGTCACCGAACTCGAGTGCGTGCAATTATCGAGACCCGGCTTTTTATCGTTGTTTACGTTGATTAATTAAGATAAGTCGAATAGGACTTCTTCACCGTCGAATTCTTCAATTGGACACGATTCATTTTCGAGAGAATTTTCGAATAGGACACTTGCTTTTCCGATATTAATTCGTTTCATAAACGAAACATCTCGATTTAACTGTTTTTCTCGCACGCTGTACACTGCCGGGAGGAGCATTATTTTAAAGAGATATACCAAAGTTACGATAAATACATCGTCAAGATGCGGAAAAGATATTTTCCCTGTGCGTTTTACTCGTTGGCCATTATTGCAATAAAATTTTGCCCGTCTTTAGTCAGGATTCCATTATCCGGAAGTCCTCCTCCGAATAGTCTTGCCTTCCTACATTTGACCGCGTAAAGGATGCTTCTGCCGCAACTACGACGCCGACGTTTCGAAGGATCCATGTACTTTCATAGAAAATACACGAGTCGCGAAGGAATGCTTTTACACCGCAATCTTTCCCGATTGAAACTTCCAGTAACACGCTACCCGTGGCATTATGAAAGTTTCGTGGAAGTGAATCAAGGAGAAGAGAGGAGAGAAGCGGATTGGTGACCATGGAGAAAGAGAAAGATTTGCAAAGGCTGGATCGAACTGTCGAGGATACGAGGAAGCCGAAACATTCCTGGAACTCCGCGATCTCCGAGAAATATCCTCTTTGCTACCCTTCCTCACCTGGCAAACGTGTTCGCGATCAAAGGCGCACCAGCGGAGTCCTCGTGTCTCCTAGAACCAATCTGTTACTTATCCAACCTCTCTCAAAGTGTTTTGGAAAGCATATCGATGAAACGCCTTGGACATCTTGTCGCATGCCAATTTGCCGGTAATTGAGTTCCATGATAGGGGCGTAAGGGTGCATTGTTTCGATCTCGACAGTCATTTTGCTAACTTTTTTGCAACGAAGAGTTTATGAGGGAGCCTGGTTCAGGCCGCTGGAAATGATCGGGAGGGAGTGTTTGAAAGAAACATGAACGAATAGGTTCAGTTCCCTGAAACCTCAAGGATAATAAGGAGGAAACGCATACTCGCGCACGGAACACCCCTCCCCGCTTTGCATTTATGACATCAGCGTCTATCTAGCGTTTATGACAACGCGTATCTCCGCCGAACTTGTTTCACCTACTGCGCTCGCAATGAGTAATGCATGACATCAAACCCTCTAACGCAGTGTTTCTCAAACCCACTATTCCATCAATTTTTTATCATCTTCCGAGAACAAAATTATTTCTGATCAACTGTTTACTATTCGCACCTTATTACACGCTAGGAAGGATAAAGTCCCGTTGATGAAGAAGGAGAGCATAGTTGACGATCCGCTTCCTTTCTTCGAAGCGTATATAAAGAACAGCACCTCCGGAAGTAAGTTTTCCA